CAATCTAAAGACAACCATTCCTGGACAATGGGTTGCGTTGTTTGGAATAATCCCACAGGCTCTATGAACATGCCTGCTTCCCCCCTCCACCTGCCCCACACATACATCTCCTGTTTGTGTGTATGTGTGTGGCGGTGGGGGTAGGTGGGAGGGTCCTCTGTACAATTATTCTACTGCAGACTTTTCACACAAACACTTCTCCTTTCTGTTCTCACTCGGGTTTTTTGTTTGCTCTGTCTCTTCCTCTTTTTTGTTTGGGCAGGCTAGCTGCAACGTACAATGAGTATTTCTTTTTTCAGTCATAACTGGACAGCAATCTTTCTGTGTTTTAAGTCTTATAATAATAATAATAATCCTTGCGTTTGATATAGCGCTTTTCACGTCTTCTAGATGTCTCAAAGCACTTCACAGAATAGACTTTAAAGTCCGAGTTAAGCCCAGAAACGGACAATTTAGCCAGGGCACAGAGCACCCTGACATAACATGCACCATATTACATTATGATCACAGAAATCAATAAAATAAACAAAAAGGTAGTAAATGTATTCTTTTCTCTTTTTTTGCTTATTGAAAAAGCAAGTCAGATTCTGGAGATCTTTATGGAGGGAATTTGTAGGACTTAGTTAGCAACGGGTTTTGGTCCTGGGTTCAAATGCATCCTGGACTGATTCATCCACCTCACTGCTGCCTGGAGACACTTTGTGCCTTAAACTGAGCACCTATTGTAGAGTGAAGAGGCACCACTGATACACTCAGTTCCTTGGTTCTGTTACCAACCATTAAAATAATATAACAATAATCGTTGCATTTGATAAAGGGTCTGATAAAGCCGTTGAGATGACTCAAAGTGCTTCATGTGTTATAATGTAAAATGACGTGACTGTGTATTTTGTGAGCAAACGCAGCAGCCAATTTTGCATACAGGAATGTAATGCAAACAGCCATGAAGTGAGAAAGCTAGTTTATTTGGAGAATTTTGGGCTAAGACAAGATATTGTTAAAATAGTGAGTTGTAGGATGAATGGTGAGGACGACAGTGCTCGTTAGTGCTTTGATGTGTGGGTTTTGTCTCGTGCAAAACCTTTGGCTTGTGCCATCGCCGCTCACGCAAGGAGCTCCCAGCTCTGTGCAGCTGGCAGCAAAAGGATCAGACAAACGATCCACCACACGAGGAAGGAAGAGAAAAAGGATGAAAGTGAGTCAGGCTGTTGCTAGCGGCTGCTCAGAGGCCTGGCCATTGACTGGCTGTGTGTCTCTCAGCCAGGCTACAATCGGAAGACTTGGGGGTGGGGGGGGGGAAGAACTCAAAAGTTCAAAACAAAACTCTAAAGCTGGACGTTAAAGGAAAAAACCAGCTCATATCAGTGAGGGTGGAGTTTAAAGGTATTAATGCAGCAGCCACACACCACACATACATTTTAAATGAAGAGCTGCTTATAACCAAATTTTATCAGAAAGCTAAAAAAAAACAAACCCAGGATTGTGAGCTGTTCAATTGCAAATTATAATTTTCAGATTCAACTCAACTTTATGCCACTACTCTACGCAAGTCGATAGTGTAGGGGAAGGATAAAAAAAATTCAAATCCCATTAATGTGTGTTTAAAGGTGGACATTTAATCTGAGAGCTGCTTTCACTGCATGCACTTTGCTAGACTCTCAGAAGAAATAGAGGTCATGTCAGAAAGTAACACTGCTAAGTATTCTCCTTGTAGAATCAGGGAATACCAGGTATTAAGTGAATAGTACAATTGTGTGTGAAGACTTGAAAGGAGGAGTGACAAAGGTAGAAGGATGTGGGAGGTGACCGAGAGAAAAGTTCAATGGTGGAATTTTGTAGCAACTATAGAAACCATGGGATGATGTTATAATAGAGATGGTGTGAAACATTATCAGCCATTTGCCTACAAAATGCAGTCATTAAACTTCACAGTAAATAACAATAAAAATCCTTGCATTTAATACAGCACCTTATCATATGGCTGAGACATCTCTTTGCGGTACACCTTGCCTATCCCAAAGTTTGAAAATACCTTATTATACTGTCTCTTGAGCTAAAAAAAAGTAACCAGCTCCGTCTTAAATTTGCTGCCAGTGACCCCACCCACAGTCTCTTCCATAGACTGATCTGTGCAAAGTACTGTAATAATTTTGATCTACGCGTTCCGTTTTGAGGCCTTGGTTCATTTTTGTGGAACTTATGATAAACGTATTAAATGCAATCGGTTTACCCCTAATCTCTCAGGATTTTCCTGTGAAGTCCAATAACTCTATTTGCAGTCAAATGTAACAGCCAATTTGTGCCTAGCAATGTCCTACAAGCAGCCACGAAATGAATGATCAATTTTATTTGGTGGAGTTGTGGCCAGGGTCCCTATGAAGCACTTTCAGATGTCTTCCCTACAAGAAATGCACTATATCAAATGTAACGTTTATTATCATTAATATTATTATCTAATCAAAGTGGCTGGAGGACGCACTATTATATCCATGAAATAAATAATCATTGTATTTGATATAGTTAGTATGTTAATACGTAACCAAAATGTGTGAAAGAGCTTCACAGAATACACTGCAGTGACTATGTCCAAGCAAACGTGGCAGGCAATTTGCACACAGCAGTTCCCCACAAACGGCCATGAAGTGAATGAACATTTTTTAATCTGGAGAGTGCCGGTCGGGATACCGAGAGAAACTCCCTTCAATACAGCACAGTACGAAGCTGAATTATTACAGAAAAATATTCACTATTCAAGACCCACAGCTAAATGTCATTTACAACAGAATGCATGACAATGTGGTTAGGTCAAGGGCGTCATATATCATTTTTAATGCAACTTCACAAAAACCTAACGCTAATTTAAGAGAACACTCATTGCATTGCCAAGGCCTGCACTGGACCAGATATTAAGATAGACTGATCATTGTGTGATATAAAGTGCTTAATTTAACTGGTTTGCCATGTTTCCCTGAGGTTCCCAGAACTTGTTTGAGTCACTCAGTTACCGCAGGCTCCCCAATACAATACAAAATTACATTTGTATAGCACCTTTCATGTCGGGAGGACGTCCCAAGTCACTGAACCTACTCTTAACCTATTGTCGATGGTCTGATCGGTGCATCCAATACAGAACAACTGTTTTTCATAAGCTGGTAAGTTTTGTATAGAAATAAAGAGGACTGTAAAAGACTTTTGGTATATACCTGACCTGTCCCAAAGTTTGAAAATACCTTATGATACTCTCTATTGAGCTAAAAAAAAATCTATCCAGCTTTGTCTTAAATGTACTGGCAGTGTTCCCACCTGCAGTCAGTTCCATAGTCTGATCATTTGATGTGTGAAGTATTGCAATCAGTTTTGATCAAGTTGTTCTCTTCCTGTTTTGAGATCTTGGTTCCTTTTTTAGTGGAACTTAATAATAATAATAATCCTTGCATTTGATATAGCGCTTTTCACGCCTTCTAGACGTCCCAAAGCGCTTCACAGAACACACTGTAAAGTGAATTGACTGTATATTTGTGGGCGAACGCGGCAGCCAATTGCGCACAGCAATGTCCCACAAACAGTCGTAGATTGAAAATTTATTATTGACCAATTTATTATTGTTTTTGGTTTTGGAGGGATTATTATTAGGCTCTGTGTGGAGTAAGGAAACTTGCCCAAGGTTTCGCCCCTCTGCCTGGAATTGAACTCAGGTCTCTCACTTGCAAAGCGAGTGCTCTAACCACTGAGCTACAGGACTCCAACTTGTGTTTGTGTTGAACATATTAATTGCAATCGGTTTGTCCGAATTTTTCTCTGAGAATTGTTCGAGAACTCCTTCAAAGTGTTTTAGCCACTTTTCCTTCAAAAACACACAGTACGTGTTTTTTTTTTGCAGTATAATCCCGTGAAGCGCTTTGAGAGACGACGTGATTAAGGCGCCGTATCAAATGCAAAGATTCTCGTTGTTTGAAAGATCTCTCTGAGAGTTCTTTTCTCGCCTACACTGCATTGTGGCGATATCGGAATCACAGGAGAAGGCCGTTCTGCCCCTCCGCCTGGAGCAAAACCCAACGAGTGGCTAGAAGTTGGCTTGGACGCTGTTCCTGAGGGCTGTGACTAGTGACAGCTCAAGGGGCTTCTCTGTCTGCTGTTCCTGACAGCATGGCTGGTTGCATCCCAATGGAAGAGACCCACAGCCAGAGCCAGACACTGTGAACCTGTCTCTGAGCTGCGCTTTAAATACCCACTGGATCTCCGCTCTCCGCAAAACATTCTCGCAGCGGATACAGCGGCAATCTGTTTGAGCAACAACCAGGAATGATGTGAGAAGGTACAAGGAACCGTTACACCTGTTGGGCACCTGAGAGAGAAGGGAGGCAAAGACAGGCAGGGTTTTTACACCCATTACCCCCCCCTCCCTCCCTCTCTCTCCCGCCCCACAACAACAACAACAACCACCACCACCACCACCGCTCAGGATCTGGTAATTGCGTACCGACCGCACCACCAAATGACCGACGCTCTTATTACTTTTCGTTAACAGAGTTAAAAAGTTAAAAGGAGTTAAGCCAAAAATGCAACAAAAAAAAAAAGAACTACCGGCGTGCGCAGAAAACGCCTGAGCTTCTCAACACAACCTTTCGAAACCAACCGTCCCACCCTCACCCCCCCCCCCAACCCTCACCCACCCCCCCACCCCTCACCCCTCACCGCTCACCCCCACCCACCCACCCACCCACCCCCCCACCCCGGGGTCTACAACAAAGTACAAACCAACAGTGGCTTAAGTTTTTTTTTGGGTGGGGGGGGGGGGGGGGGGCTGTTGCTGTTGTTGTTGTTGAGGCTAACAGGTTTGCCCCATTAATACCCCCCCCCACCCCACCCCATCCCACCACCCCCCACCCCCACACCCCCAAACCCCCTTACCCTCCAGCTCTCCGCAACCCAAAAAAAAACCCCCAAACCCCCCCCCCCAAAAAAAAAAAAAAAGATTAGAAGAAAAGAGGGGCACTCACAGCACACACAGGGCGTACGCCCCCGAGATGGACTCACTGGCTCGGACCAGGAAGCTGCCATCCTCGGCTGCTCTGGAGAGCAGGTCCTCGGCTCGGGAGCGGGTGATGGTCCCGTGTTGCCAGGAGTCGGACATCCTCTCCGTCAGCGACAGCCCTGAGCTCGAACCCCTTCACCACCTCCTCCCTCCCCGCCACCCCCACTGAGGGAGGGATGGGTGGTGGGTGTGGGTGGGTGGGTGTGGGTGGTGGGTGTAAGGGAAGGGGTGGGGGTGGGGGGGGAGAGGGTGGGGTAGAAGTGCCTGGAGATGAAAGTCAGCACCGCACCCCCCGAGCAAACAGCCCTTTCCTGCGCTGCGAGGAAACTGGGCTCTGCTTTTACTTCCTCATATAACACATTGAAGCTATTGCCTGTTTCTCACTCTCACACACACACACACACAGACACACACACGCACATATATACATATATATATGTATATATATAGAGCACTGCAAACCAACCAGTGCCTCTTTCTTCCTGCCAACAGCTCACACACACACACACACACTAGTGCAAAGTTACCCCTTTTCCTCCCGTGGGAACCAGTCAAACAACACCCCCCCACCACCACCACCTGCCCACTTCTCTCCATCACACAGTCACTAACCTGCCCTTCCCACCCCACCTGCACACTTCTCTCCATCACACAGTCACTAACCTGCCCTTCCCACCCCCCCCCCCCCACCTGCCCACTTCTCTCCATCACACAGTCACTAACCTGCCCTTCCCACCCCCCCCCCCCACCTGCCCACTTCTCTCCATCACACAGTCACTAACCTGCCCTTCCCACCCCCCCCCCCCACCTGCCCACTTCTCTCCATCACACAGTCACTAACCTGCCCTTCCCCCCCCCACCCCACCACATCACACATCGCGCACCTCGACCCTCCCTACCCCTTTCCCTCCAAAAGCCCACGCGCTGCTTGCGGCCCCACTCGGAGCACGTCATCTTAAGTTGACGCTCCAATGTTTGCGTCGTCGGAGACGCGCTCCTTCCGATGAGTCGTTCACGACTGATGTCCGTCTATCTTCCTGTTCTGGTGGATGTTAAAGATCTAACTGCACCGTTCGAAAAGAGAAGGGAGTTTCTACCGGTGTGCTTCGCAGAATATGCTGTAAAGTGTAGTGACTGCATGTCCTGTGAAGAGCTTTGAGGCATCTCAACCACTGTGATAAGGTGCTATTTCAAGTGCAAGGATTATTATTATTATTATTACCAACTAGCCATTTCCTACATTACAACCTTTTCTATATCACACACACTCCAACCAGTCATTTTCTACATAATGTACACCTGCAAACCAAGTAATCAATACTACTTTTCCTCTTTGAGTTTATGATTGATCTCTGACCAACACCCATGGAATCGTTCCTTCAACAGAAAGGAATTAATGTTTTCAGAAGTATGGCAGTGGAGACACGAAGAGAAAATGGACTCATTGGATTTATAAGCAACTTGGGGTTGTTTAAATGCTGAGCCATGCCTGGCAGAATGTCGTAAATGTCAATGAATAAACCCTAGGGAAGGGACAGGTCAGTCATCGGTAAGGACAGCAATAGGGTCACCACTTGAGTGATGTCCTTTCACTAGTGCAGCAGCTGTGTATTTTAAAGGCCTGGGTTCCTTATTTCAGTTGCAAACCTATTGTACATTTTAAAAGATGTATGAGTACAGATACAACAATGTCAAGAACAAAGGTACTGTACCAACTACAAACCAGTCTGACCACACAACCACATCTGGTAAGATGTTACCTGCCTTTTTTTTTTAACATTGTTTGTGCTCATGCGTCTCCATCGATACTTACCCCTTACCTTGATCCTGAACTGTCCCAATTCTTTGGATGTTTTGCTTGGCCTGCGGACAGCCAGCTCATCAATACAGTAAGATGCCACCATGCACAGGGTTTGTGAAAATCTTGTTCTTACCATAGAGGGTTTCAAGTACTTAAATACATGGGCTCACACAATAGTCTTGGCAGAGCAACTCATCAGAGATTGTGACAATTCTACCGGTGTTTCCTTTTATAATTCTAGTTAGCCAGCTTGTGCCAATACTACAGATCATCCTTGGAAAGGAATTATGTACATGCAATTTGTTGTTGTTGTGGTTGTTGTTATTGTTGAACTCACCAGGCAGGTTGTGGTTGTTCTCAGACTGCTTTGACCTTTGATTTAGCCACTCACTCTTGAGAAGGTGTCAGCCTGACTCAAATGATAGCACTCTCACCTCTGAGTTAGAAGGTTCTAGGTTCAATCTCCACATTTGGACTTTGAAGGCTTTATACTCTAGGTTGACAATGCAATGCTAGGAGTGTGTTGAGTTGTTGGAGACACCATCCTTTAGATGAGATGTTAAATCGAAGTCCCTTCTACCTGTTTAGGTGGATGTTAAAGATCCCATGACACTCTTTGAAAAGAGAAGGGAGCTCCGGGCAACATTCCCCCCAAATTCACTTCATGGCTTATTGTGGGATTCTACTGTGTACAAATTGCCTACTATTTTCACCCACAAAATACTCAGTTACACTTTACAGAAAATCCTATGATATACATTGAGCTGTTCTCCGACATGAGAAGAGACTATGAAGATGCTTTAATGGGAGGGCTAAAAGGTCATGTCTCTCATGGTCGATTCACACCACCCCATGCTGTCTGGGATCACACATGAAGAACAGCCAGTTAACTAATGCCATGGAAGGTGACCATAGATCTGTACTTCAACATAATGTGTGTAAGTATTTACAGGAGAGTTTTCTTAAAATTCTAAATTATTGCACACAAAATATAGTGTGCGTAGAGTTGTGTTTAAGCTCATCCACTGAAGGTAAATTAGAACTGCTTTCCCTAAAGTTTAGAAAGTACGGTTCATTGGTTGTTCTGTCCAGACCTGGCCAGCTCTCTTGGCTCACACTACGAAGTACATAAATAAATAACGGGGGTGTTCATCACTTCAATAGTAGAAAATACCACTGGAAGCCATAAGTGTGAAAGAACCTTGCCTCTTATTCGGGCTGATTCAGACCAATGCAACATCCAGAACGAATATAAATACAAACAACTCAAATTAACACTTTGAATGTGTCAGAAAATGTGAAGAAATTAATGAAGTTACAGTGGGGGACAGTGTGAGTTCACATCGATGGAAATGTAACTGTCAGGGAAATGCTTTTAATGGAACAGGAAGTTAAAGGGAACTGAAATGGATTGTACATAAAACACAGTAAGTTCCCTGAGTCCATATATGGAGAAAAACAACTGTTAAAAACTGTTTCATGTTAAACACTGCTGTAAAATGTACTTTGAGACGCCCTTTTGACTTGAAAGGCGCTGTGCTAAATGCAAGCATTATTATTATTTAAATTGCTGATTGCTATGGTGGTTTAGCCTGGCAGCCTAGCACTGTTGACAGCGATCTTGCCTCTGAGTCAGAAGGTTGTGGGTTCAAGCCCCACTATGTACTCACAGCGTAGGCTGACATTGCAATGCAGCGCTGCAATGCAGAATTACCAGAGGTGCCATGCATCAGCTAAACCACTGAACTGAGGCCCTGTTGACCTGGACCCTAATGATCCAATAGAGCTATTTGAAAAGAGAAAATAATTTCTCCCGTTGTCCTGGACAACAATCCCCCAGATAAATTGATCATTCGGTGATGGCTGCTGAATTTGCTCTCTTTGGATTTCGAACTCTTTCATTTTCATTTTTAACTCTTTAATTTTAATTTAATTTTAATTTGGAACTCTCTTCCCCCAAAAGGCAGTGAATGCTGGATCCATTCAAATTTTCAAGATTGAGGTGGATAGATTTTTGTTAGGTAAGGGTATAAAGGGATATGGGGAAAAGGGGGATAATTGGAGTTGAGGTACAGATCAACTATGATCTAATAGAAAGGAGGAATAGGCTTGAGGGGATGAATGGCCTACTCCTTTTCCTATGCTCCTAAATAGAAAGAACAGTAAATACTGTAAAGTGCTTTAGCAATTCAGCCTTAATTTGGAAACTGGTTTTCCGCAGCTCTTAAAAAAAAGTTTCCAAATTAATATTGAATTTCAGAATTTTCCTGAATTTTGCATGATATTAAACTTGAAACAAAATTGTCTGACAGATGAAGATTAGATTTCTTTCTGTCTAAGAAAAGGATACAGGACATGCATCAGGCTGCAGGACTGCACAATCTCCCATAGGGGAACTGCAATGCCAATCAGAACTTCCGAATTTTGTAAAAAAATATATTATATTTTTTTCACAAGTGTTCTGCAAGCTTTTGTTTTACAATTTTTTTTATAAGATCAATTGGATTCTAATGTGTCTGGAACCCTTGTTATACACTTGGGGTTTGGAAGCTTGAGGAGCTGTTACCTTGTGTAAATACTGCAGAAATATTTCAACTCATTGGCAAGTTCACTGATGATGAGATTACAGAATAAGACACGTGTCACACCCCAAAGTCAAACCACACATAAGTTGCGATCAGCATACATTTCGTATTCATTTTAATTATCAAATACAGTTTCCTCTTGAATGAACAAGGTGATTGGTTAATAGGGTAAATTACCTTGGCTTGTTTTTACTTGGAAGGAAATTGTGTGGTCTTCTTAGCTGTAATACAACATAGTTACTGGAACTGTCAAGAGACAACAGAAGGCAGGAAGTCAGACTTTTTCTCATCAGCTCTTTCTCATGATACAAGTTGAACGAGAGATTTTCTCCTGAGAGAATGCATCCGTTCAAGTTTTCCAGTATCGCTGAAATCTGTAAGTACAATCTCTCTGAGGTCCATTGAATGCATTGTTTCTTTTAAATGGTGTCCTTTCTTATATTCACATCTATTCAGTATACCAGGGTGAATTTCATGGCAGTGCTGCATTCAAAATGCTTTGTCCGGTGAACTTGGAGACTAGTTGGGACTTGTCTTTTTGAGGCACAGTAGTTGTTTTTTCCCCCAGTGGGGTCTACTAGGTGCAGTTTCCTAAGTGTAGCAGCACATTCACTTTACATTGAATGATGAATATGAATATGAAAATCTACAGGATTGAAATTGGGGATTAAAGGTAAAATGTGAGTAAAGATAAATCATTAAGCAACTCTTCCTTTTGAGTCTTTTTCCCCCCAAAATAATCACTCCATAAAGGCTGCAATTAGCTTTTTCATTCAATTTCACAGGTTGATAAAAGCTTTTAATATGATTTCCTCCAAATTTACCAAGCAGTGGAATTGTTTCCTCGTATACTTTAAACATTAGTTTAAACATGACTATTTGTCATTTCAGAGCAACATTACTGCTATTTTCCCCATTTGCTCCAATGTTTTATTTCTTACAACACAAAATGGTGCGTGAGAAAGGGAAGCAACTTTAAAAATAAAACCTAAAAGTAATATTTGTGACATTCTGCAGGATAAAGCTTACTTGTGAGCTCATTTCCTGGAGTTCCTCATCAGATTATATGCTCATGCACTCACTGTAAATAAACCCCCTCCTCTGCCAGTGCCATCCATCCACATGGCATATTTTACAGTCTATTCTAACTGGGATATTTGGGTCATTAGGGAGTGGGATTGACATTAATTGCTCTATTCAAAGAGCCGGCACAAACTTGATGGGCTGAATGGCCTCTTTTTGTGCTGTACAATTCTATGATTCTATGATTCTATAGTCAATGGGTCACAAGTAACCCATTTGACACTTCTGACACTTCAGTTGACACTGCGCACTGTGCAATGCCTGAGGTGTGTTGCATTTTTGGAGGTGCCATCTTTTGAATGAGTCATTAAACGACTGTCCCATTTATCCAAACAGATGTTAAAAATCCCACGGTCATTATAATTTACAGTAAATCCTGTGATGTGCTTTGAAACTTCTCCCTGACATGAAAGGCACTGTATCAAATATAAGTATTATTTTTATTATTACATCAAGAAGAAATGAACTAAGACCTCCCCTCAGCTAATCTTTTTTTCTCGCTCAGATATTATTAACTCTGCTGATGCCTGTTGTTTCTTTCACAAATATTGAGCAAATGCACAAATTAAGCCATTATACAGAGGGTTCCATCATATCTGAATGTGAATTTTTGTTACAGAGCTCAACCGTACAGTAGATCGTTCAATCTTGGCGACTGAAGAGATTAACCAAAGCTGATCACCATGGCAAGAGGTGAGCCTTTTGAATTGGGAAACAGATTAAAAAAAGATGACTGGGACACTGAGTGGTTTAGCACCCTATCCTTTCAAATCGGGTTACAAACTGGCTGCCACACTTGCCTAGAAAGTACACAGCAACTATTTGCAGTAAATCCAGTGAAGCACCTCGAGACATCTTCCTGATGTGAAAGGCACAATAGCATGTGCAAGGATTATTATTATTTTACTGATGGACTGAAAGGGATTGAATCGTTTCAGTGTTTCCCTGCACTCTGGCAAAACCCTTATCACAGAAGATCTGCAAAATGTAACACTTGCTGTAGCTAAGTTGACAGTTTCTTAAAGACTACAGTTGAAATGGAAATGTGCTTTAGGGGTTGCTGCTGTAAAGTTATGGCTGGCACAGAATTGGGAGCTTTATCCTGCATCAAGCCTGTGAGGTGGCTTATGCTGTACCTAACCCATTTTGAACCTGACCTGGGATTTCTCATAAGAAAAATGAGTGCAGAGTAAAAAAGTATTTTCTGTTCCCAGACCTTGTCTCTATTTATCGAGCACAAAATCCGTTCTCTCAAAATAAATAAAACAATTGAATCTAAAAATTTGATTCCTCCAGAGAGAAATGCAACACGAGAAATGTCAGTAAAGGCGGAAATGAAGTCTAACATCATCTCACCAGTGATTGAGAACTCCATTGTTGACTGCATGCCCATCACAATAAACGTGGGGATTTCTGGTAACCAATGGCAACGGGGTAAGTTGTTCATGCACTAAAGTAAATTGTCATTTATTTTGGTTTATTATTACTTTGTAGATTAGAAGTCAGATTTCCGAATCTACAACCACAACAACTTGTGTTGAAATAGCACTCTTTACGAGGGGTAGCATCTCCGAGAGCTCAAAACAAATGGCTATTTCAAAACAAATATAACCGCAATCGTCTACGAAATAAACAGAGATTGTCAAGCTCACGCCTTTTGATATTCTAACTCATTCTTTTCCAGCACCTCGACAATATGGAACTCATAGTCTAGGTTGACATTCCAATGTAGTGCCGGGAGAGCAATCCCTCAGATAAAAGCAATCATTCATTTTATGGCTGTTTGTGGGATTTTGCTGTGCCCAAGTTGGCTATTGCGTTCACTTACAAATAGGTGGTCACTACACTTTACTGCAAATCTTGTGAAGATACTTTGAGACGTTTTGGTGATGTGACAAAGTACTGTATCAGATGAAAGGGTTAATTATTATTTATAATTCAGTTGCTTCCTCTTCTATTTGTCAAATTTTTAAAACCGAAGCTTAGCATTATCTTGACTCTCACTTATAAAATGCTCAGTCACCACTTTACAGGAATTCCTGTGAAGCATTTAGAGATGTGTTTGTGACGTGAAAGGCACATATCAAATGTAAGGATTATTATTATTTACCCACTCTTTGTCTGAATTTAATGTGAACATTTTCTTTTTGGTTTTCTTCCAGATGGTACTTGCCATAATAGTTCTGATACCCCTAATATTTCAAGTAAGTCAGCATACCAGCCAGAAATCTTACGGACTGCAAATGCACTCTGCATTCATTATTGAGATAATGAAAGTAGCTTCACTTAGTAGCTAATGTACTCTACCTCCAAACGGAAGAAATACATCTCTAAAACATTAACATACTTTGTAACAATACATTTTTTTCAAATACATAAATCAAATAGAACAATGTTAACTGAACACAATTCCAATTTTCTGTTATAGTTAATGCGAATCATTACAATGCAAGCTTAACATTAACTCTAATTTTACATGACCTTATTATAGTAATGTCCATCGGGGAAAGCTATACATTCTGCATGAGACCACAACGGTACATGAGATAGCTAAAAGNTTTTTGAATCATTCAAAAGGGCATATTTTATATGCTTAACTATTCATCCGTTCTATTTGCAGATTTGCGTTGCCAAATCACAAAGGATCTGAAAAAAGTTCTGAAGGAACGCCTTGAATACATGACCGAATACACAGCGAAAGCAGGGGAGCGTGTGTGTCTCAATAAGAGGTTCACACAGCTTCGGATCACGGAGGGCGAACGCGAGGTCTACTATGAGCACGAACTAGCTGAGATCAGCTCGGGATCCCCTAGCCATGAGCGACTGCTTTCTGATTTGATTAAGCAACAAGAAATCTTCAAAGTCTTGCCCGGCAAAGTGAAACCGAGGGTGGTTGTTACTAGAGGAATTGCGGGTATTGGCAAAACCGTTTCTGTTCGGAAGTTCATTCTCGACTGGGCAATGAGCCACGCTCATGAGGAATTTCATTTCGTATTTGCCTTTCCCTTCTGTGAACTCAATCTGATTTCAGAAAACCGGATCAGTCTGATCCAGCTAGTAGAACAATATTACCCATGTATGAAACATTTGAAAGATATTTTTGCTGATGAGTCAACCAGGTCCCTATTCATCTTTGATGGGCTGGACGAAAGTCTTTTTTCTCTGGATTTTCGAAGGAATCCAATTTGCTCCAATGTAGCAGAAGCAGTTCCTCTCCAATCATTGTTGACAAACTTGATCGAAGGCAAGCTGCTTTCTTCTGCATCCATCTGGATCACCACCCGGCCATTGGCAAAGTACTGGATCCCATCCGGTTCCATTGACAGAGTGACGGAAATCCATGGGTTTAACGATGAAGAAAAGGAACAATACTTCCGAAGGAAATGCGAAGACAGACATCTGGCCAAGAAAATCATAGCAGTAGTGAAGAAACAAAGGAACCTTTTTGTCATGTGCTGCGTCCCTGCTTTTTGCTGGATATTGGCTACAGTTTTAGAGCATGTATTCAAGTCTCCTCGTGCCAAAATGTTTCGAGGTGAGTCAGTAACCGAAGTTTATGCCAACTTTCTAGTGGTCATGGTGACATATCACCACGAGCACCGTGGCCATGGAAAGGAGAGAATTGAAAAGAGCCACACATTGTTGCTGTCAAACCAGGAAGCGATACTCAATCTAGGAAAGCTGGCATTCCACTACCTTTGCTCCCAAACCTTTGTGTTTTACGAGAAAGATCTGAAATTGTTCAACATTGACATCACATCTGTTTGTGGGGCGTTCTGTAAGGAACACTGCATTGAGTACACCCTTCTCTCAGACAGGAAGGTCTATTCCTTCATCCATGCCACAGTTCAGGAATTCTTTGCTGCTTTGTACGTTTTTGTTTCCTATCACAACGAAGGGAGAAACATGTTTGCTGCTGGTTTGCTCCAGAGGTTCTGGGGCATCTTTTCAGCTCCAAGCTTCTTTCAGGTGTGTAGGGATGCCTGCAACAAGGTGGTCAGGAGCCCCACTGGCCACATGGACTTCTTCCTCCGATTCCTATGTGGGCTGGGAAGAAAACAAATCCAAAAATGTCTCCAAGGACTCTTAACGCACGAAGATGAGAGGAAAGATGATCTGCTCCAGACTGTCAACTACATGAAGGAGGTACTTCAATCAGACATCCCTGCGGAGAGGTGCATCAACATCTTCTACTGTTTAAGCGAGCTGAAGGAGAAGTCAGTCATCAATGAGATCCAACAGTCTCTAGACTATGGAGTGCTCTCATCCCAGAAGCTCTCGCTTGCAGACTATTCAGCCCTCGCTTTTGTCTTGCAAATGTCAGATGGGGAAAGGAAAGAATTTGACTTATCAATGTACAGAACATCCGCAGATGGGTTAAAAAGACTCCTGCCAGTTATCAAGTTCTTCCAAAATATAACGTAAGTAGTCCTTCAATTCGTGGTGTATCATTTTAGTTCTCTTGCCTATTGGCCCTTCTGCTGCTGGGAAGGATGGGCAAATTGATACGAGTTTAATTAATATCAAACATTTTATCCAAGGTACAGCACCTGCGATAATGCAACCAACATTACATTGAAGTGTGAGTCTGGACGATAAACTCAAAGTCCTGACCTAAGAATTGAACCCACAACCTTCTGACTAGAGTGCTGGTGGGAGGATGACACCTGTGCAATGTATAACGCACGTGTGTACATCTCGCATTTCACATTCCCAGAGCAGAAATATTTTCGGGAAACTCAAACCTTGACATTTTTTTCTGATACCATAAACAATGAGTAATTGACGCTGTTTTTGTAATTGCAGATTAACAGCGAGCATCATGGACCCTGAAATGATCAGTTCTATCAGTGCTCTTCTTCTTTCCAGCAAAAACCAGATCAAAGAATTATGGTAAGATGCACTTTAGAGCAGTAAGTCTTTGTACAGCTTAGCACACTGGAGGAGTTTACAACAAAGGAAAAAGGGCCAGCACCAGAATATACCACAGTTATAAAACACAATATAAATAAGGCCTGGCAAAGTGCATGTGATTCAGAAAAGTTTCAAACACACAGCCTAACATTACTGATTTCCTTGCGATTTAGAATTGGCACCTACAGCAAGACCAGCTGGACAAGATGATTGCATATGATTATTATTGATGGTAGCAATAAAACTGCTGCACCACACGCTGTAGTTAGAACAACAAAAACAGCAACAAATTGCATTTATTATACCTTTCTTGTTGGAAGGACATCGCAAGGCGTTGTGTAGGCAGGGGGTGCACCTGAGCTGGGGGTTGGAATCAAGAGCTGTGGAGGGTTGGGGGGGGGGGGGCGGTGGGGTTGGGAAGGTGGCTGAAGGCTTAGTCAAAGAGGAAGGTCTTGAGACGGGCCTTGAAGGAGGCAAGCGAGGGGGTGAGAGGAGAGATTCTGGAATGGAGTTCCAGAGAATGGAGGCAGAAAAGCTGAAGGCCCAACCACCAATGGTGGGGTAAGCAAGGCGGGGGACATGGAACAGGCCAGTGCCCACCGAGCGGAGGGAGCGAACAGGTTGATATCGTACAACTACAATGTCCATCGATACACTGCTTTAGCTTATGCACTCCTGTGTGGGGTTTCCAGACCTGCAATCTTGTAACACCTCACGGCAGCACACCATTCAAACGCAGCGCTGGTATCAAACCAATGCCAACCAAACAATTATATCAGAAGATGAATTGGATTCAGCTGAGTGGACTCATTCACTGCAGTGAAAGAGAACTCAGTTGAAGTAATCTCTCATTCCTAGATAGTTAATGTTCCTCCCAGAGCTAATGAAGCTTCACTCCTAACCAAGCAACTAATTTAACTTTTGTATGATTCATGCTTTAGCCTTACCAATAATTCACTCGGAAATTCTGGGCTGAGGAAACTATCTGCGGCACTGATGAGTTCAAGCTGTAGACTGGAAAAACTTGTGTAAGTAAATCCTTCACAACAATGAACACTAGGCAGTGCTGATGAGCTACAGCTGGAAATATTTCATGGATAAAGTTTCAATAAATACACCTGTTTTATTGAAATTGAAGTACAAATAATAAACTGATAGCCTACCTAAACTTTGGCCTAGAGGAGGCTAGCATGTTATTTTTTTCGCTCAGGTGTCCGTGTCTCATAAGGGGATTGTCAAGAACAAGGAAAAAGTCGTCCTTGCGGAATCATGGCTGAAAAATAATTACTAATACAAAAGAGAGATGATGTGTGTCAGCATTATCTCTGGGTCCTGTATGTTCTGATGTGTTGTTAAAATCTAACAGATGCTTGTTGTGGTCGGCCACAAGGTGGTGATATATACTCATGAACAGGAATCTGACAGGGATATTTGCTAGCACTGTCACTCCATTCAAGTAGTTACAAAACTGCTCTCTCTTCCCCTGAACCATAAAATAATAATACGCAATCATTACAAAGCACTAAAAGATGCTCATCTCCTCCCTCAAGAACCCAATAATCTCCTTTCAAGTTTTTGCTCTCAATGCGATTTAAACTGGTTAGACTCTAGCAGTACCCCAATGCACCCTCTGGGGGTTCCCAAGCTTTGGCTCTTGCCCAACCTGTGCCTAATACTTTTCAGAATTAGGTAAGCAGGATGTGTCCCTCCAGGGAGAGAGGGCACAGTCCATTCCAAAAGCTATCGCTGAAATTTCCATGTGTAGATGAGATGCATGGAATTCTCAGTTTGTTTTGGATATTCTTAAGCATGGTGATGGGTTTCCGCAGGTATTAGACATCCAGCTGACCCCCCCAAAAAAAGCTGTGATGCATTGTTGATGGTTGGCACGTTGAGGACAGAAGACGCAGAGTTAGTTTTAAAGTTGGTCACAAAGTTTCAAATCTAGGATATAGATGTTACTCTTCACAAACGTCTTGGTGTCCTTCCTGTGTGCAGGCTGTCCAGCAATGATCTGACCGAGGAGTGTTGTGCAGACCTCATCTCCATTTTAAAGACAAACCCAATCCTGAAGGATTTCGACCTGGCATACAACAAGCTGAGTGATTCAGGGGTCGCACAGCTTTCAAATGCTCTGAAAGACTCTGACTGTGAGATACAAGCTCTCGGGTTGGTGAACAGTGCGCTTTTATATTGCTCTTTGTAAATGGTTGTACGTTCCTTTCCCCATATTTGCAGGGTGCCTGATCTCTGTATATCATTACTATATGATCTCTGTGCTAACTGAAATATTTTCTTTCCTATTTACAATGTCTCTGATCTCTAGTTTTTCACGATCATTCCCCCTATTTACAATTGCTCTGATCTCTGTAGATTTTTGCAATTGTTTCTCTACTCACAGCAATTCTGACTTCTGCAGGTTGTGGGGCAATGAACTCACAGAGTGCTGCTGCACCACACTGTCAGAGGCGCTAAAAGTCAATCAAACACTGAGAAGCTTGGATCTTGGAGACAATAAGATAGGTGACCTGGGTGTGGAACAACTTTGTGATGCGATTAGGAACAGTGGCTGTAAAATTGAAAACCTGAGGTAGGCAATTCCCCTCTGTTGTTCTTATATGTTCTCCATATATCTGATTGTATCTGATCTGTGTGGGAAGTATGGACTTTCCCAAAGATTCATCTGTTCTTATGCATGCAATGAGATGTGATGTGAAATCGTTGTGGAAAATGTGGAAATAGAGTCTTCTGCTGTTCTTCCAATATTTATTCACTTGTTAAACCATCAGTAGAAATCAACAATTTAAGATTTCATGATTCTGCCTCACTTGCACAATTCTCCTTTTTGGTATTTCTATTTGGTTTTTTACTGTTCTTTTTCTCTAAATTATATTATACATCCTATGGTTCCACGTCCTACCTGTGTTACTGAGTTTTCAGATTATGCACTTTCCAGACTGCATCACACTGGTTTAACAGATGCCTGCTGTGAGACGATTGCCTCCATGCTCAGAACAAAGCAAAGCCTGATCGAAATGGAGCTGGGCTTCAATAACATTGGAGATGTGGGATTACAGTCACTGTCTGCAGCACTCGTAAACCCCAACTGCAAACTCGAAACTCTTGGGTAAATAGCAAAACGTCATGTGTGAAAATGTGAAAGGTCTAGAATATTGGGATTTAACAAATGAAGTGGTTAATGGACATTTTAGATTTCTATGATTGAAATGTTCCCTTTTATTCATGCTCTGGCATCCAATATTTATTCCAATCAATGTTCTCTCATGTTCTAGATCCGCTACATGCTCAGAGTATTAGAGACTGACCTGATTCTATGCCATGCTACATAGTAGTGTATTATTCTAGATAAAAAGCCTGTTATAATAATAATAATAATCCTTGCATTTGATATAGCGCTTTTCACTTCGGGAGGACGTCCCAAAGCGCTTCACAGAACACACTGTAAAGTGAATTGACTGTATATTTGTGGGCGAACGCGGCAGCCAATTGCGCACAGCAATGTCCCACAAACAGTCGTAGATTGAAAATGACCAATTTATTATTGTTTTGGGTTTTGGAGGGATTATTATTAGGCTCTGTGTGGAGTAAGGAAACTTGCCCAAGGTTTCGCCCTCTGCCTGGAATTGAACTCAGGTCTCTCTCTTGCAAAGCGAGTGCTCTAACCACTGAGCTACAGGACTCCACGAGAACAGTTATGCAGTACGAATACTGTTCTACATCCATGCAGTGTAGCTCGCCATGCCCTGATGTAGAAACTTAACTGTTGACTCACATTTCCAACTGGGACAGACATGTATTTCAGTTGGATTTACTGTATTCTCCTAGAGTTTTGTACGTTGGGTAGCTATCTGAAAATATGTAAAACAGTATTTAAAATCTATTTCAGTTCAGTGCCATTGCATCACAGAGTAGTACCTGGGAGTGTAGGTATTTCCTAGAATAGATTTAGGGCAGAAAAAGGATAGGGTGAGTAAACATTTATAGATAAAGTAATGCGTCAGAGGAATTAAAGCTCAGAAAAAAGTGTTTTGACAGTCATGCAGTATGGTAGCTCTTTGGTTTTCCGTTTGTTGTCAGGAGATTTAATGCCAGTTACACAAACAAAGGTACAAGCACTGTCTCCAAAATGCAAACAGTTAACTCTGCCGGTAAAAGTATAGCTGGCAATCCTTGTAATCTGGGAGCCGCCACCCTTGATCTAACATCACTGAGTGCTGGCTGATTGGTAAGGTAAGGTGGTTTGTTGATAAGTTTTCTTGTGCTAAATCATTTTCTGTTCTGTTAAGCCCACCACAAGTAAACACTCTACACACACCTCCTTGTTTGATCTCAAGCACACATTCCTGATCCTGTACCTGAAATTGTTTGGAAACTATTCCACATCAGAAATCCATTTTGTTACAATTCTTTGATCTGCCTGTTCAGGGAACATTAAAGACTCCACAGCACAGTTCGAAAAGAGAAAGGAATTTCTCCTGGTATCCTGGGCAACAATCCTCCAGATAAATTCGGTCATTCATCTCAGGGCTGTTTGTAGAATATTGGTGAGTGCAAATTGGCTGCCACATTTGTTCACAAGGTATATAGTCTTTACAATACACCCTGTGAACTGCTATATCAAATTGAGAATTATTATTATTGGTAAATTCATATGAGTGTGGCCTCTCTCCTTCTCCCTTGGCTAGGTGTGTGAAAATGAAACCATTTATTTTTCCAGACAGTAACTGTACAACCACCATTCTCTCCGCTTTTAGAATGCAAGTGGTAGGATGAACCAGGTGTCCAAGGAGGCACAGAGTCACTTGTGACAATTTACAGATTTAGCCTGTGTTGTCTCATTGGTGTTTCTTTTCTTGCTGTAGACTGTACCGCAATGGACTCACAGCAGTCTGTTGCCGGGATCTTGCCGATGGTCTCATTGCCAGCTCCACCTTAATAGAAGTTAACCTGGCCAGCAACAACCTGCAGGATGAAGGAGTTAAACTGCTTTTTGAGGCACTGAGAAAGCCGACCTACATGATACAGGAACTCAGGTAAGCTACTTTATTCATCTTCATTCCAACGTGTTATCCTCAATGTAAATCGCTTGAAGTCTCTATTTTCAAAGTAACTCATTCTAGAATCATAAAACTTTACAGTGCAGCAGGCCATTCAGCCAGACTCAGTGCAGAGTCTGCTCTGGATCTCAGAACAAGCTCTATGTTCAATCGCACTCCTGGAAACAACTAGAAAATGTTTTAGCATGAGAGCAGAATAAATGCTGCCCAGACCCTGCTGTAATAAACTTCACCATACACCCACATTTCCTGTTTATGGTTCATTACAAGTGCCCTTCCCTCACAGGCCAAGGCTGAAGGGTTCTGACAGGGTAAATAGGAAGAAGCTGTTTCTACTTGCAGGGGAGTTAGTGACTAAGGGACAAGGTTATGATAATCATAAGAAGACGAAAAGGAGAATTTAAGAGAATGTGTTTTCACTCTTTATCTCTATATTTCCTCTGCAGGTAGACCTCAATTTCACTAGTACTGGTGATAAAATATTAATTTGTGGGGTGGGTCACGAAATAACCCACTGAGCTAACAAGTGTTTGTGTTTTTGCGTTTGCAGGTTGACAGGTAATGGTTTGACCACTGCATGCTATGAAGATCTGATGTGGGTTCTTACAGTGAATAAGACACTCCAATTACTGGATCTGCGTTGCAATGACCTAGGAGAATCAGGAGTGAAAGCCCAGGACTTTGCACAAAAGAACTCCAGCTGTGAGATCTGGCTATAGATCAGGATCAAATAAAGCCTTTCCCTTCACTACACCTGGAGAAAGTGATGGGCTGTTCCTTACCACTTCATATTTTTATATCAAAATGTACACATGCCATAAAATGCAAAAAATATTAGTATGAGCTCACTTTTGCAAAGCATTTTAGTAGATGAATTAGCAATATTAGCAACATACAGAAATATAAAAGACAGCTCATAACAGTACTGGAAGGACCAAAGATCAACTATCTCAGTTGATAGCCATCTTGCCTCTGAGTCAGAACATTGTGTATTTAAGCCTCACATTTCATGTTGGGACTTTGGGCTCATCGTCTAGGCTGACACTCTAATGCAATACTGGGGGAGTGCTGCATTGTCAGGGAGTGCAGTCTTTCAGATGAGGCATTAAACCAAGGTCCTGCCTGCCTGTTCAGGTGAACTCAAATATCTCATGACACAATTAAAAAGAGAAAGGAGTCCCTTTCATGTCTTGGTGAACAAATCTCTAGATATAAGTTGTCATTCACTTATGGTTGTTTATGGGTAACTTTTGTACAAATTGGCTGCTGTATTCATATGCAATTATACAGCCACTGCGCATCACAATAAATACTATAAATGAGACTTGATAACATGATAAGGCACTGCATCAAATACAAGGATTATTATGAATCAAAATAAAACATTCCCTTGTACAAGATCTCACAAAATAAAGAATTGTCTGAATCATGATCTGAATGTATCAGACTGAAATTGTCTTTTATAAATATTTGAATGTGTCAAACTGAGTCACTCAAATTCACAAGAACATGTCAAAATGACTAAGCGCTTATTCAGCTAACTATAATTCATCCTTCCACTACCCAAACCCTGTCAACATGCCATTGAAATGCACGTAAGAGTGTAAGAATTTCTAATACAGAAAAAGCACACTAGGCCTAACATGTCTGGCCCATTTTTGATAGTTGATAATCATAATTACCAATCTTTCCTCTTTTCTGAACCATTCTGAACCATTCTGTCCCTTCATGAACATAATCAGACTGTAGGCTTCAATGTCCTTGTCTGGTAAGGTGTAGAAGTCAGTTACTCAAGTTCTAATGATATTTCTGTTCCCCTCACACACCCCATGATTACTAAAGACAAAACCTAGAATGCTCTCAAATTATCTTGACTCTTCAACAAACTAGAGAGTGAAACAATTTTGCACCACCTCTTGGGATATACAAGTCTCATTTTTGAGCTTTTATTTTGCCAGATTTCCAGTCAATAGTCAAATTACTTTATCAGTACCATTACTATACGGTGTTAGGGATTTTACAATTGTTCATATATGCTGGATTAAGGATGTGCTGAGAGATAAAAAACTTGATTCATAACTCCTACTAGAAAGTGACAATTATAATCCTTGTGCTTTATCACATCAATGAGACATCTCAAAGTGCTTCACAGATTATATTGTAAAGTGGATTGACTATATTTTGTAGGAGAAATGTGGTAGCCAATTGCACACAGCAGTTGCACCACAATGACCTTTCTTTGCAGTAAAATTTAGCAAATAATTGTATCAAAGCCGAACGAAGCAGAGTGGAGCGGGAACATTGTCTCTTTGTGTACAATTCTATACTGACACTGAAATGAGAGTGTACAGATTGAGTAATTTCTCAAAAACAACAGAAATAACCCACAGAGTTGGTCATGCATAACGTTCATCAAAGTTCAGCATCATCAGGTTCAGTTGGTTGCATTGTTGTCTCAGAGTAAGCAGGTCCTGCAGCTTAGTGGTTAGTGTGCTCACCTCACAAGGGAGAGGACCGGAGGTTCAGTTCCCGGGCAAAATCTTATGCAAATTTCCTTACTTCACACGGCTCTGTTTACCTAGCAGTAAGTAGGAACCTGGTTGTTAATCGACTGGTGGATCACTTTCCACGGGTAACAATCCTTTTCCCCCTTCCAAAAATAATAATAAAAATAAGTCACTCAACCCACGACTGTTTGTGGGATACTGTTGTGCGCAATTAGCTGCTGCGTTTTGCCCACAAAACACACAGTCAATCCATTTTACAATATATTCTGTGAAGTGCTTTGAGATGCCTCAACGTTGTGATAAAGTGCTATATATTAGTAGTATTCAAACCCGACATCAGGTTTGAGGTCAGAATCTAGGTTCACACTTCAATTAATGCTGGAGATGCTGTTCTTTAGATAAGATGTTAACTGATGTCTGCCTGTTCAGGTGGCCTGTTAATAGCACTATTCGAAAAAAAAAGAAAGGAGTTTCTCTCAGTGTCCTGGCCAACGATTCCTGAGAAAAAATTGCTCATTCACATCTTGGCTGTTTGTTCACATTCACATCTTGGTTGTTTGTTGGACATTGCTATACGTAAATTGACTACCACGTTCACTTACAAATACAGTCACTGTACCTTAGAGTAAATGCCGTGAAGCACTTTGAGACATCTTCCCACCATGAAATATCAGATGCAAGGATTATTTAATTCTAATACTGAAATATTTAAGTCCAATGCATTAAATTCTTTAAACCATCTAAAATCGCACAATAATTATTTATCGCCTGAAATAAGGCACTAACAAATGCATTCACTTTCCAAATTCTATCTTTGACACCAAGCGAATGTTACTCTCATCACATTTGAGTTTAAAGTTCACTAAAAAACTGACCTGTAAAAGATCATAGCATATCAGGGGAAAAAAAACAGTCCACTTGAGAGAGAGAGAGAGAGAGAGAGAAAAAATAATAATCTCTTGATACATTTGGTCTATCCTGCACTTTGCTGCAATTTGCATCAAAGGTGCTTACAAATGAAACTCGTGTGCTATTGTGCAACTTAACGAATTCTGGTGAGATATCAGAATCATAATTCTCCTTTTGAACGCCTACGCTGGTTTTGGAGGAGAAGTGGGTTTGCCATCAGTCAAAGACAAGTACCTTGGCACCATCAGTAGCACTCATTTTCTCTAAGCTGCCAACTAACCTGATGATCAAAATCAAACTTTTCATTTACAACTAAATGAGTTGATCGTCATTTTGATCCGATTCCTTGTAGGCAAAGTGACTTTTTTTTGTTCCTTTTATCATTCATCCAAAAAGATAACTACCCGCATGTAAGGTTTATGTGTGTTACATAAGAGTTCAGGGAACCAGTGACAGCAATAATAACGAATGGGCGACAGGATGCATATGTGGACCCGCTGATCTCTCGACAAAGTGTCACTTCTCATTTGTATTTTTAGAATTTCAGTTGCAAATACCAAATTTCGCTGCATAAACAAAAAAAAATGTTTGTGATGGTGATTAGTGATGTAAAATGAGATAGGAAGGCATTGCTGGTCTCTGGGCACTACGTTTTGCACCAGTCACTGTGTTTCACTTTGCTTCAGGTCTCTCAACTGTGGGACACAACCAGTGTCAGGTTCAGCGACATTTCTTTTGTTCGGATCTCAATATATTCAATTCAAAAAAAATTGTCAAATCAAAGTTTGCAGCACAGGTAAAGAAAGACTCTGCTCAAAAGTCCCAGGTCTAAATGGCAGAGAAAAGAACAGAAAACGCAATGCTGTGCTGTGTTGGGTATTCATCTTAAAAGCAATCAAATCAAATCAAATCAAAGAAATTTATTATCAAAATTTATTTTGATAATAACTGCTATTGTGAGATCGGTACTTCCACTTCGGGTAAATTCTGACAGCGCAACTCTGCAATATTAAGAGTTTAACCCTTCAATCCTATTTATACAATAAATGCATTTAATCAAAGATTGGTAGTTAGATTGCAGTAAAGATATCTTTCAGTAAATATATATTTTCACGTGTAATAACTGGTGTATCACCGACGCTCAACAAAGGGCAGTAAATTTAATTAAACTAATGGATTAATTAACTAACCAATTAATCCAGAAAATAGCATGAAACGTTTTCATGTGATAAGGCAGTTACTTTACCGAATGCTTATCATTGTACACTGCGTTTTGGGGATTTTGGAATAAACATCGACTCTTTCAAGTTGCAAATATTGCAGCTTTCATACGTTTCAAATAAAGTGATTTTTTTTTTTTTAATTGGGTTTGAACGAGTGGTTACAAACACTTCCCGTTTTCAAATACAATTGAAAAAGTTCGTTTTGACGAGATTCAAAGCAGAGGATGTCCTTCCTTTTTTTTTGTTTGGAGAAAAACGCATTTGAGAAACATCAGATGAGATTTGGTTCAGTGGTCGAGTTGGATTCAGAGTAAGAGCTGTGGTGAGTTGTTACACAACTTGGGCTTTGCACAGACATATATCTATATTTTTTAAAAACTCTGCAAATCCACGTTAAGATAGTAGAGCATTGCATAGATGAGGAAGACAGGAATAAAAGAGTGTATGGAGAGGCTAAGACGCGGAATTAGGAAGGCTGGAGGTTCATATGGAGCATTAACGCCTGCAGATTCTGTGCCAATTAAACGTTCGAGGAAAGACCCTTCAGTAAGTTCAATCATTTGAACAAATAATTTGGACTCTTATTGATTTTGATACCTGCTCTAAGGTATGGAGATTAAAATATTCCCTATTAATTTTTTTTCCCAGCTTCTCATCCACACCGCAACTAAACCAACTGTGATCAGTTCATTCGTTCATTCATTCAGTTGAATAGATCCACACACAACAATTACAGGTGATAGTGGGTTAACACATTATTAGACACTTGTACTATCACTGGTCTAAGTGACTTCCGCAGATTCCCCTGAGATTTCACGAGCGAGAAAACGTCATTTTCTACTATATTACTAGACTTTAAGACCAAAACTTTCAGTCATCAGGATTCACTCCAAAATTGATTGTAACTACTGAACTAACCTTCCACCAGGAACCGAACAGAAACAACGAGTCTGCAAGTAGGAATTGTGCAGTAAGTGGTTAGAGGCAACTGGAAGGGACAGAAACAGTTTATGGAAAGAACAGTGGAGAGTACGATATTGGATGGGTTAAGCCCCGCAGTAAGGTCCAGCAATAACTCGGCGAAGATGGCTAAACACTCGTTTCATTGAGAGTGAATACGGAAAGCAAGGATTTCCTGGTGCGTAAGCCCTGGTCCCGGAATTCTTTGGCAATGAAATAGTAGCAGATTGCATCCAGGCAACAGTTCACGTTGGCTAAGCACATAGCCGTTTGGATAAACAGACTGATGTTTTGCCGAGTCGAACAGAGATGCTCTCCAATGATGTCCCGCCTCACCAGAAACTGAAGCAAAATCCCCAGGTGGGTAGGTGCGAAGCAAAATATGAAAACCACCAGATTGGCAGTGACAATTCTGACACAGGAGTCAACAGTCTGGTGCTCTCTGGCCACAGGGATTTGTTTCTGCAAAAGTTTCCGAATGATGCTGAACGAGCAGAAGACCACGATGGCGAGCGGGGTAACGAAGCCAAAGAACTCCACGTAGGCGATCAGCCAGAAGTTCCACGATTTGTCCGAGAACTTATGAAAGCAGATGATGGAGCCGTTGGACCCCGGCGAGTCGTGGAAGTTGTAGATGGGGATGCTCCCCAGCCAGATGAACATCCAGATGGCGAGACAGACCAGCCCGGAGTTCCTGGGAGATCGGTACACCCTGGCCCGGAGGGGATGGATGATGGCTAGGTAGCGATCCACACTGATGGCCGAGATGAAGAAGATGCTGCCGTACATGTTGACGAAGTACAGGGACTCTACGAAGGAGCAAAAGGCCATGTGGAAGGGCCACTTTCGGGAGGACGAGTAATACATCTTGAAAGGCAGGGAGAGCAACAGCAGGATGTCGGCCAGCGCCAGGTTACTCATATATATTACTGACTCGGTTCTCCTTTTGATCTTGAACCAGAAGAAGAAAAGGGCGATCAGGTTGAAAGGCACCCCGAGGATAAAGGTGGGGATGTACACCACCAGTTGGATGATTTCCTCATTCACCGCAACCTGGCACACGTTTTGGGTAGAATTCATGGCCTTGGGAGAGGCTGATCCTGCAAAGGGGAAACGTACCTTAGAGCCCAGGCACTAACTGTTAACTCACATCTCATTTCTCTATCTCACTCTCTCTCTCGCTTTCTTTCACTATCCTTTCATTGGCCTCCCACCCAAACTGCCAAAGCAGTTATTTAAAATTTACACTAAGGATTCTGAATGTGCAACTGACAACTATGTATTTTACTCAGTACGGAGAGGCATCTTTCAAAGCTTACATGTTTGGCAATTCAGCTAAATGCATGCCCGTTTCTTGACTTTTGATCAGCCCCTCTTATGAAGTGCTATGTTATTCACATCTCTATTTGAATTACATCCCTGTATACATTTCTGAAGCATTGATAATATGATAATTTAATAGGAGTCGAATGCTTTGAAAAACCTAGGTGTTTCGCTTGACACAGAAACATAATTACTCATTATACACAATCCTCAGTGTGTCAAAACGTATCCTTTCTATTTAAAATCCTTAGAATTCTATCTATTTACATGAAACGCGATTTAATTTAGTACATGGAAGATATAGATGTACTTACAAGACTATGATCAATGGGAATCTTGCAGGGCGAATGCGCTTATAGTACTGACGTTTTTGATCTTATAGGTGGGGGGGGCGGGGTGTGTTTAGCAAGATATTTTAACCACATCCTTTTGTTTATTGTCCTTCTCCATAGTTTTGTCGGCAGTCAGCATTGATGCGCATTTCAGCAAAACAAATCAACAAATCTACCATGTGTCCCACCTTCTCCTGGTTCCCTCCATGGCCATTTAAGAGTCTGGTTCCATTTTCTTGCTTCGGGTTTTGCCATTCCCTGTTCTGCTGACTTGCTGCTCCGTGTGCTTTGCAGGTGATCTTCTGGCACTTCATGGCCATTTCGAAACGGTTTTGAGCCGATCTCTGTGCCTGAGCAGGTGCAGCTCATCTCTAAACTTTGACCATTGTTTCCAATCCGTGCCTTAGCCAGTGAACTGTACCACCTTGTCGTGACTGAGAGAGGGTTCAGTGGTTAATTATTTTGACTTTTGTGGATGTTTTAGTCATATGAGTGTATGAAAATGAAAGCCGGTTAGATCAGATGATAATACTGGCAGCGAGTCATGAGGTGGCAGGGAATTAGAAAACACACAGCACACAGAACGGGCCACGAAGCTTTACAACCCTGGCAAATTGGACTGTTCGATTCTCGAGAAAAGCAAGAGTGGTTAATGTATAAAAATAACTAATAATCCTTGTTAATATGAATCAGCTCAGAAGGCCCAGGTGTGATCTAGTTTTACTATTAGACGTGGTCTCACTGAAGGTGCAGCAACCAGAAGTGTTTGAAATTCTCGCACTGACTTTCAGACAAATCAGCCCAAAAGTGACACATTTTACCCATGTTTAGTTACCAAGTTCTACATGGTCTGTTGTATCTGCAATCTGTCCAAAATCCTTAACGAATCAGGGGAATCAGTAGCTGTGACCACTGTCAACAAGCTATTTTCTTACACCGACTCTCCATCTTGGATGGTCTACAGTTAAAAATAAACACGTTGGCTCATTTTCACAGGTTTATAACTTCCTCCCGGATTCCTTTAACACTCAATACCAGCCAGTCTATCAGTTTCAGTCAGACACTATTTAATCTCGTTTTACTAGCCCCAATAAATAACTGAATATAGTTCTTGGTTTAAAACTGAAAAATATAATTTTCTATTCAAATTTTGAAATTAATTTATCAACTACTGTACTTGTAATTTTGTGACTGCAACAATTTACAAGGTGCTCCACTTCCGTGCAGACACTGAGACCATTTATGCATTTAACTATTTCAGAATCTTTAGCTTTTAATGACAGAAACCACTCGACGATGGCTACTGTGACAGCTTTGTTCAATTTTAGAAGCAAAACATTTATTTGTTCAGTATCTTAGTACAAGTCAAACAACACGTTCCTTCTTGCAATAAGAAATAAAACGGAAAATTTAAGTGAATATGAGTCAGTGAGAAATGAATGGTTCACACTGGCTTAAGTTATTGTAGGCGAAGTTCAATGCCATAAGTGGTAAAAAATAGTGTTACAGCATTCAGAGAGGGATTTATACAACAACGTGCATTTATAAAGCGCCCTTCACATGTCAAAAGGCTATACAACAGCACTTTACATATATAGGAGGATATATATATTTCATGGAGGTGAATATCTCAAAATGCTTCACAGAAAGAAGAGTGGAAACTGTACAAGGAGGAAGTAGGAGGTAGTATCAGGGAACTACCAAGGGCCTAGAGACAGGACAGAGGAGAGCAATGAGTAAGATCCCCAGATAGAGGAATGACCTATGAGTAGTAATTGAACATGATAATGATCTACAGTTTGGAAAGGAGATGTCTCAGAAGGAACCTTGCAGAGGTATACATGATTTTAAATGTATTGAAAAATATAACAATAATGAGAAAGCAACTACAACAATAGTGTTGGATGTATCAAGACAGAAGAACAAGAGGGTGCAGGTTTGTAGTTGCAAAAGGTCATTACAAGATAGACACCAATAAGTGTTTCTTTACCCAGAGGAAAATTAACAACTGAAACAGTTGTCTTTGGTCAACTTGACCAAAGACAAATCCAGTTTAGAAGAATCTTGAAATGGAAGTATAAAAAAGAATCTTCTTCATATAGGCTCCCAATTGATCTCACCCAGGAGCCGAGGAGAACTCCACGCATGGCAACTAAGAGCTTGTGCAAAGCTATGCCAATTAGTTTTAACATTATTAAGGAGTTGGTTGTATGATAATGTCAAACTCCTGGTGAAGGGAAGGGTTGAAGAATTTCTAAGTGGAGGGTAAATCAATCTGCACCATCTGCATTTCTACTGCATTGTTAAAGATCAATGTCCTGTGGAAACCACCTTCTCAAGGCATTGCAAACAGCCAGACTGCAAAGTCTATCTTTTATGATGGCACATCTCCAATCTAGTTCAAATTGTGTCTTATATGAGGATATGTGCAGAATGAACTATGAGTCAGTTAGATATGTGTAAAATCTAACCTACAAACAGTGCTGGTTAGTTGAATACCCAAATAATATTATGCTTCGCCAATCTCTCTTTAAAAAGATAGAATTTTTCTGCTTTTCCATCTCTGAAACCACATCCTTTCAATTCGAGAAACAAATCAGAATATTTCAAAATATCTTTGTGCTGCACGTCATTGACGAATAATGAAAGTGACACATTTCCAAACTATCGTGTCAAAAAGGTTGCTATATGGATCAATTAATAAATGCCACTGATTTCTATAAACTTTGCTGTGAATAAAGAATATTCAAACTGTACCACATTAAATAGTGTTATCATCAGCAATCCATTTTAAGAATTAATTTGATACAAAATTAATTTGTAGCAGAACAGGAAGTATGACTTTCATTAAACATTAGCTTCGCTTATCCCTAAAACAATTAATTCAATTTCCAAACAATGTTTCACCCATCTCCTTTCTGAAGCAGTTACTTTATACAACATCAATTGCTTTGTAGCTGCACTGCTCTGTTGAACAAAAATCTCATTTTCCTTGTATATTCGTACTCAAGTTCTCCTATTAACAATATAGTCAAAGGGGAATTATTTCTGTTCAAATGGCTTTATTCAGCCACAGAAAAAAAAATTCTACCTCTTCAGAGGAACGTTTTCATTCCAATCTGTACCCTTCATTGCCAGATTGTTCCAGTGATCTACTTTAAGGAGCAGGGCCTGGTGCATCTTGGAGTTTGTTCATGGATATTTTGCAGTAGCCTGGGCTCTATTTGATTTCTCCGTATCTGAGAAAAACACTGTATTGGCATGTATACAGCAATGCCCAACCGTGTGAAAGCTTCTGAAAGCTTCTGCTTCCGATTTAAGGATCCAAAGCTTTTACAGATAAAGTATGCAACAAGACTATTAAATACTTAAGAACTCATTTATCACTTGCAAAAGTTCCCTCTGTAAAATATGCTGTGTGAAAACAAAACTACCTTGCAATCTACCCTGTGTCAGGCTGGCACAATGGTAGCACTCTTGCCTCAGAAGGTTGTGCGTTCAAGGCCTACGTCAGGACTTGGATTCATGCAATCTAAGCCGACACTCCAATGCAGTGTTGGGGGTGTGCTGCATTGTCGGAGGTGCAGTTCTTCATATGAGGCATTACACTGAGGTCCCTTTTGCCTGTTCAAGTGAATGATAACGATTCCATTCGAAAAGGAGCTTCTCCCTGTGTACAGGCCCCAAATAAAACATTTGGTCACTCTCTCCATGACTGTTTGTCGGGGAGCGGCAGCAGGACAGCGCGGGGAGGAGCCTGGGCCTACTGACCCAGGTACTTAAACTCGACGCCGGAGCGAGTGCAGCCAGTCGGGGAGCGGCAGCAGGACAGCGCGGGGAGGAGCCTGGGCCTACTGACCCAGGTACTTAAACTCGACGCCGGAGCGAGTGCAGCTAGGGGGAGGGGACGGAGCGGGGAACTGCGACGTCATAGATTAGTTTTCAGGTGAGTGCGCGCGCACAAAAAAAAAAAAAAAAAAAAAAAAACCCTCCGCGCCCCCCCCCCCCCCCCAGGGCTCACATCAGAGCCCACTATGGTCCTGTTGGGTTCGATGCCCCAATCTGCGGGATAATGCCATCCACCTGACCGCTCGCTCCCGGTCCCCGCGTGCGCACTATGGCTGCCGCTTTGACCCGAGCCCCCTCACCCCCTCCCTCCCTCCCCCCTCCTCTCTCCCCCCAAACCCTCCCCCCTCTCCATCTCTCCCGCTCTCTCCTCCTCTCTCTCCGTCCCTCTCGTCTTCTATCCCCACTTGACCCTCCCACAACCTCCCTCTGTTCCAGTCTGGGAATCCTCCGCCGGGCTCACCGCGGCACTCGGCGTTGGCTGTCCAGCAGCAGCCACACCGACTGCCCCATTCCCCACCACTCTCGCCAGCCACCCCGGACACAGACCCGGGGAGTCAACCTCTCCTCCCTCATCCCCATCTCCCCCACCCCTGCCTCACAACCTGGACCCCCCTCCCCTCCCACACACCCTTCTGTCAACCGCTCCCTCCACATCGGACTGCAAAATGTCCGCTCCCTCTGCAACAAGGCCCTGGTCATCAACGATCTCATCCTTGATGAGAACGTTGATATCATGGCCTTGACAGAAACGTGGCTCACCCCAGGCGACACCTTCCCCCTCACGGAGGCCACGCCACCCGGCTACACCTCCCACCACATCCCCCGCCCCAACCGCCGTGGCGGTGGTGTTGCCCTTATCTCAAGGACACCACTTGCCCTATCCCCCTACTCCTCTGGCTCTTTCCCCTCCTTCGAGCACCTCACCCTCTCCCACCCCTCATTCCTCTCCCTTAAAATCCTCCTCCTCTACCGGCCCCCTAAAACCTCTCCCACCTTCATCTCTGACATTTCAACACTCCTCACATCTCTTTGCCTCTCCTCTGATCGCCTCATCATCCTGGGCGACTTTAACCTACACTTCACCCCCTCCTGCTCCATCTCCACAGACTTCTCTTCCCTGCTCTCCTCACTCAACCTTTCCCTACACATAAACTCCCCCACTCACAGTCACGGCCACCCACTCGATTTGGTGATCACCCGGGGCCTCAGTGTCTCGGATGTCACTATTACCGACAAGGCCATCTCCGACCACTACTTCATCTCCTTCACCACCTCCACCCCCCTCCCCACCTCCACCAGACCCACCACCATCTTCTACCGCCCTTGGAAGAAGTTACCCCCACAATCCCTAACCGATGCCTTGGAGTCCTCTGAACTCCTCTCCCTCTGGCCTTCAACCCTCACCGACCCCTCTTCTCCTCTCTCCCTCCTCCACAATATCCTCTCCTCCACACTCGATACTCTTGCCCCCATCACTTCCCGCACTGTCTCCTACTCCCGCTCCTCCCCCTGGTACACCA